CTAACAAATTTACCAACTAGGAATTGAACAGGACTGGAAGCATTCTGACTGTCCAATTCCATTCTTAACAAGCTCTTTGGTGGCCAGTAAGAAATAGAATCCAATAGAAGTAAATTGCATTGTCCAAGTTTGTTTGCATTTCTGCCACATGTAGATTAACCAACTTTGATAGCAGGCTCATCTTGATAAATGCCTCTGGCACTTGCAATTCTACATAAAAGCAAACTGCAGGCATGAGAAAGTTCAGCTGCTGTATAGGGAAGAAGGCAATTTATTCATAGATGTACTACTACTACTACTGCTGCTGTTTAAAAGGCTTTTTAAACTATGCCAGGTGTTCTCAGAAATTTTGTCCAGATTCTTTACAATACAGTAAAAATAGGTGTGGAATTATTTTTTATAATTAATTACAGATAAGAGTATTTGTATATAAAATTATTAATATTTCTTATTAATATGTCCCTAAATCCTCTCAGCACCGTGAAGATTGCTAAGTGAAGATCACAATGTTGGATTTCACACATACACTTAAATGAAATCACAAGGCCCCATCACAAAATCTTACAATGAAGGGTGAAACTGCATCTCCTTTTTTTCCCTTGTCCTACAAGAAAAGAGAAAGTGGAGGCAGGAAAGGAAGAGCAGGTCTTGGAAGGGGGTAAATGTGGAAGAAGCCACGAGCAGTGGGGGAAGCATGGAAATACCGCCACCACAAAGAGAAGCTATAATGACTGCTTTAACTTCATTTGAATTTGAACAATATTTTTTGACGAGTTTGCATTTTCAGAGCTCTGCTGTGCTGCTGATCATTGGTTCTGCTTGAATATTGACATTTAGGGCAATACATCAGACTGACGAGACTAGATAACAACGCTCACCACATTCCAAACCTGACTGTGACCCAGTGAGAACTCACAAGAAACCAAAGTAGATTACTATATACTGCTTGGATGCCCATCTCCATACAGCAAATCTGTTCAAGTTTGATTATATAAGGAAAGGGGATTACGGCTCAAGACAAGCGCTAAGGAACAAAAGACAGTTACAATGCCCTTACTGCGAAGAAAGGGGAAGACCAAATCTGAAACAATGGGCTATCAAACTAGCTGAAAAACGATACTAAAAGTAAAATAAACCAAACAGCCTAAGCAGACACATACCGGGCTTTCATGTGTCGCATGGGAACTCGATTTTTACCGATCAGGCAGCGATATGAACACGTTTCTAGCAGCCAGTAAACCCCAGGTGCTTATTTCAGGCGAGACACACCTTTGTCCTCTGCATGCACAAAGTCCGGCCGTACCTCCCGGCAGTTGATGCCTGCGCATCTCGTGCTCCCAGGGCCGGCGCCTTCTCCCCTCTCTGCCCGTCTGACCTTGGGCTGTGTCACCCCCGCAGCCCCCCGAGCCTGCGGCACTGCAGCCCGCCTGCCGAACCGCCGGGCCCGCCCAGCCCACGGCCGGAGGGGCCGGCTGGAGGAGACTTCTCGCAGCAGCCCATCGCCGCCCGGCCAACGCTCCGGCCTCGCCCCCGCCAGCACAGCCGGGCCGGGCGCTCCCTCCGAGCTGGGAGCCCGCGGCGGGCCCGGCCCCTCCCGGCCCCCGGGGCGGAGCCCGGCGCCCCGGCCAGCGCCCCGCGCCAGGCCCGGCGGCGGCGGCCCAGCGGAGCACCCGCGGCCTCGACCCGGCTGGGGCGTCCTCGCGTGGGGCCGCCCCGACAGAACCCCGTCCCGGCGGGGCCCCGGCAGGGGAGGGCGGTTCATACCTGTACAGCGCGGCTCAGGAAGGTACCCGCGTCAGCCGCCAGCTTCTTCACATTGAAATCCATGATGTTCATGTTGGGCGGGGGCGCTGACTCAGCCCGGGCACCCGCGGCGGCGGCGGCCGCTCCGGCCCGTCCCTGTGGGAGCCGCCGAGGGCGGTGCCGGGCCCAGCCCGGCCGCAGCCGATTGGCGGAGCCGCGGCGTCAGCCCAGGGCCCGGATCGGCCGGGGGAGGGGCGCCGGCGGCCGCCCCGCCCCAGCCCCAGACTGCCCTGGCCCCGTTCCGCCTCGGCCGCCTTCCTCCCCAGACCCGCCCCGCTCCAGCCCCCGCCCGCCCCACGCTGGCGTAAGGGGACGGCGGGCGGGGTAGGGTGGGGTGTCAGGGCTGGCCCTGGTATCAGGGCAGTGTTTTCATGCCGGCGTTCTCGGCGGCCTTCGGGGTTAGCCGGCATGCTGCTTCGGGGCCGGGTCAGCCTGCCCGCCAGCCCTGGGCGAAGGAGACTGAGAGCCGGGCGCGGCCTTTGCCGTGAAGAGTCGCTAGCAGGGCGGGCGGCACGGGCAGAGTCCCCTCAGGCGGGCAGGCAGGCAGGATTTCCCTAGCGTGGAAATCCTACCACTCGAAGGGAGCGCGCCCCGGCTTTTGCCTCGGGACCAGCCTTAGCCCTAGGTTTCTTTTATTGCCTAGGGTTAGGGTTACGCCTAGAGTTAGCGTCCAAAAACCACAGAGCCCAGAGCTCCAGGCACACCGCAGCTGCCAAAGGCATCCCAAGGGGAGCGCACAAGTGCTACAACATGGCTGCCTCCACGGCTTTTGCCTCGGGACCAGCCTTAGCCCTAGGCTGCTTTTATTGGAAATGTAGCTGGAGCCCACTAGATGTCAGTGCCTCCATACAGCAGACTGCTGCAGCTCTGCTTGCTAGGCAGACAGGAGTGGGTGACCCAGGTAGCAAGTGAGTTGTCCTGGATCATAGAGATTGTCTGTGTAATGTCATATTTTTGCATAACTCTGGGAAATTCCGATTGTGTGATGTAGTTCCTGTTAAAGAATTTGCATGCAGCAGAACTCCTTTATGAAATAAGAAGATTTATCAGAAGCAAACAAAAGGAGATATTTCTGACTGAAAGGGCATTCACTAACCTAAAAGAATTAGAGGGAACTAGTACTAGCAAATAATGCTTCATTTCTCACTTTTTTCTCCAAAGGAGTCTTTCTACTGTAAAGCAACAGTTACTCTATTCTGACTTTGATATGAACTGAAGTTACAGCATTGATTATTGCTTGGGAAAGTGAAGGTTTAGATCTGAACGCACAGTACTCTGTCTCTGCCTGATGTCCACTTCTGTGTGAGGCAGCGAGTGTCTTAAGGGTTGGTGGAGAAATCAGATCTGGTCAGTACTGCACCAAGCAGTGCATACAAGGGTGGGGAAGGAACAGTATATTAACAGGGTCACAGCAAATCTGCAGCTTTTGCAATAGCAGACTATTGCCAAAATTAACCAATGAGCAAACACACTGGAGTAATGAATTTCTGACATGGAAATGAAAGGTTCAATTATACCTTTAGAGCAGATGAAGTCATGAGCTGTGACAAACACTCAGCAGTGTTTCTGTGGTATCTAAAGAAGCTTCTCTCAAGCACATCTCTTTTAATAAGGCCTGTAATTATGTCATTGTGGAGCTGTGTGTCCTGTTTCCTTTAATTATTTTCCACTCTGTGGATTGTGCCACTGTCATTAAAATGTGGTTTTCAGGACTGAAACTTGTAATTCATTCTTTGTTTAGGAGGTACAGAGTGCAATGCTAATTATCATGCTAATTAGCCCTCACTGCTGGATAGTGCTTGCGTTATTTTATAAACTATGACTAGATTTTTAGGAAATTCCAAAAACTTATTGCTTTCTTTTTAAAATAAGCCAATCTTATAGCAAGTTATGGGCAGCTAAAATTAAGAATTTTGTCTGAGGTGACTATGGGGTACCAAAGCCACAGCTCATAACAGTGGTGCTGAAGCAAAGGTCTGTCAGAGATAGTGAATTCTCAATACGAGGCTGTGGGTCCTATACAGAACAAAGATTTAGGCCTTTTGCACAAGCAAAGACAAAATCTCTTTTGGAAGATTTTGTCTTTGGAATTCAGATACAATCGGGCACTCACTCCAGAATGGATAATGAAGTGATTTCATGTCTACTTGAATTTAAAAGTTTGAAATTTAGCATTTAATTTTTATTACCAGGCACACATGGCTGGGTAATATTCTCCAAAAAGTATATGAAGTGAGTAGCCTGCTCTCTGAAATTGCCAGCATAGAAGAAAAAACACACTGGCATTTTTACAAAAGATGATAAAGCATATGTTTGATTTTTATTTTGATTATTTCTTTCAAGCTTATTTTTTAATGTAAGTTGCTGACGCTGCTATTACCTAGAATCTTAAAAAGTAACATTTCTATCAGCATGATTTTTAAAACAAAGTGTTCAAATTATAATCATGTGTGAGTATATGTGTCTATGTACATATCTACCTTTGCACCTGTACAAGTGATCATGTTTGGATCACATGATCACTCAGTTTTGCACAATTTATGATTTGCAAATGATCTTTCCACACATCTGTTGCACATACAGTCAGGTTATATGAATACTTACTGTTTAACCTCAAAAAAATTTAAAAATTAATGGAAACACCCAGAAAGCAATCATCTGGAGGACCTAAAACTCCCCAGAGGTCTCCAGGTTTCTGGACAGTAACCTCCTGGGTGCGCCGGGCACGTCCCGCCCGAGTAGGGGGCACAGCCGCTTCCTGAGGCCCCTTCGCATCCCACCCCCCTCCCCTC